ACGTACGTCATCGGCTTGGAAAGTAATTATTTAAAAAGAGAAACTCATGCCACGGAACCCCCGATTTCGGTCATACCCGGTATAATTATAAATAAGAGTTCTCCGAAATAACGGCGCCTTCTGGGAACCGCTGGGAGAAATTGATTGAGTATTCCGATCGACTCGTAGAAATGACTACGAAGCCCTGGCTCTCCCACGCACTTGCCATCATTTACTCGGCATTCACCAAATTGCATTTTCCCGGTTATCGAGCACGATGGACCAATCACTGGTCCGAGCACTCGACAGAGAATCAATCGAACTTCCAAGGGCCCTTTAAAAAGAATTTCTACAAGCCCCACCACCGCCCCCGACAGGAATGAATTCTTCGAAATTCCCCAAATACTCTGATATTAATAGTAAAAATCGATCCATCAGTTACACCTCCATTAATTAAATTGCATTTGTCCCACATTCGGAATCCGGCCTCATCAGATATTCGAGGGGGAGCTCTTGCTCGAGTTTTGAACAGGTTCTCTCCATTGTACGTAGCTTCTACTTTCCTCTGAAAGTGTAATTGCAGTAAAACCCTCCACCCGGAACAGGGTTGACAGAACCTCGCAGTAAAGAGGAACCACCACTTAGGATCGGATGTTAAAAAGAAAAAGAATTATTTTGAGAATTTCACCCCGATCTTTCCCGACACCTTTGTCCCGAGGATGGAAGAAAATCCTGAAAATTAATAATTACAAATCGATACAAAACGAGTATGGCTAGTTGGGTGTAATGAAATTAGGTAATGCCGATGACTTCACTCGTATATGGAAAACCAAGAAGAGTACCTAGAGTCTGGACACATTGGTTTAGATCCAGGGGAAATTCTAAAAAATCGCGAAATCAAAGTCTGGTTTATGATCGAATGGGACAGAAATTCGCGGCAGAAGGGACAGTGAAATAGAGTGATACGTTTCAGAATAAACGTCCCAGGCCTGTTTTTTCGTTCTCGTCCAATCTGGAAGGACTCGGTGCTTCGAAGCAAGGTGAGGCTTTTATTCCCCGCATTTCTGCATGCAGTGCATCCTTCGCCGGTAACGAGGGGAACAAATAAACCCAGACTTCCGCCCGGGCAAGATATTCCCTCTGGAGATGTTACTCCTTCGGGATGCTCTTCCATTCCTCCCTCCCTCGCCCACGTTTAACGAGAATGCAATCTACACCGAGGATGTTTCGTCATTTCCACTCCGAAGTAGCGAGAGGAGTGAAAGAATTTCCATGACCCGCCGCCATCTTGGAGTCGTATAAAGGCGAGGCGAAATTTAGGCGTTGCGAAAATATCGGGTAAAGAATTATGGAGCGAGCTCAGAGAGGAGGTAGGCTTTCTTTTCGGCGAAACTACGACCGAAGGACAAAGCCGCCTCAACTGCGAAAGTTATCCTTGGACCGAGAGGACACTTGGGAGAACTTGATAAAAATGGAAGACCTTACGTAGAGCCGTACTCTCGTCCTAAATTTAATGGTATGAATTTTTGCCCGTACTTCACTTTCGAAAAATATGGATTTTATTCAGAATCGAGCTAAAACATCGGAGTTTTTGGACAATTGAAACGTCGAGCTAATTAATTTCCCCAGCCGCAGAGCTGATGCACTTCCTCGAGGCCACGGTCATGTAACGCACATGTCGACCCTGCATGCAATGACGGTGAATCCCGCGAACAGGAATCATGCGCATCTGCAGCATACCAGTGACCGATTAATTAATCCGCCCCAACTGACCTATCCCACACAATGACCCAAATACTGATGTGTCATAAAACGCGGAAGATACATCGGTCATCCAACGCCCTGGCAGAAACGCTTTCAACTGCGTTCGCGAAATTGTCATTCCGCCCACCTTGAAGAACCGAACATTTCCAAATTTCATGCTGGCATGACAAAAAAAAAAATATAAAATAAAATATAAAATGAATGAGAAAGTCCCCCTCTGATATTACTCATTTTGGACATCTCTAAGCAGCTCGGACACGCGGCGGATTTATTTCAGGCCATCTATTTCCGATATTTCGGTCGTTCGGAGGAGGATGTTTGCCCTTCGAGACTTTTCGCCCTGGTTTTCGAAAGGAGGGTGACTCGTCGTTCGCGATGTTCGTCTCCGATTGGCGGCTTCTCCATTTGGGTTTACGAGTAGCCATGGTTCAATGGCAGTTAAACGTCTATTTCGCTCTGCGACCGGTGTCTCACAGCACTCTATGGAGAATGGGTAAAGCAAACAGGTGTTAGAGGGTACTCGAGATGATTATTTGACCGACTTGATTCGGCTCCTACGCGATCTCGACTTGCGTATGAGCGCACTTGCCGGATATGCCGGGCTGCTCATAAATAGCTCGATTAGATCATTCGGATCGGACCGTAGGAATGTCTTCCCGGAGGTACCGAATTAATAAATTCCCGGAACGATTCGTCTTGCCGACAAAAGTCGGATTTACCGGTCCAATTTCTGCTTCCATCTTGTCCAAGAAAACTCGCACGGCGCCACGTCCGGGGGCCTCTTTCTCGATATTCCAAACAAATCCCGATTTTTCAGTTCAAAGAAGTCTCTCCACCACAGGTCGGAATAAAAATAGCTCGAATGTTGACGTAGAGAATGATTTCGTATATACCACGGTATCACGATATGTGCAGTATCAGCGCTGGATGCACCGTGCAACGTGCAATCAACGCGAAACCGAAACGGTGGTTAAATCCGGGGCGATTAAACATCAAAGGGGCCTCATTTTAAAAGTCGGGATTAAAGTGATAAAACAACCTCTGAATTAAAGACCACGGGATGAAAGTATAAATAAATCTCCCAGGGTGGTCGGCGCACTTCAGGGTCATTGTCAAGTTATTAATAATTCCCCGTACCCGGCTCGAAAAATTGTCTATCAATCGTCTGTTACTCCATTTATTGATACCCCGGTGGAGGCAATAAAATGCAGCAAATCCTGCGTGTTTGCAGAGCTTGGAACAACATGTTAATTGAGGAAGGCCTTAGTGAATCGATCCATCCATTTGTCGAGAAACATTTAACCGTGACTGATCGCTGGCCTTGAGAGAGTTAACTAAGCCAATGAGGGGTAATGGACCTCGTATGTGTTCCGCTGATAATTAACCATGTATTTACTATTGATGTACATCTGCCTGATACGGTATTTAACGACGAATCAACTCGGTGTTAAGGCAGGAGGCGCAACCCTAATCTCCCTAAACCTCTTACGTCAAAGAAAGTAATGTCTGTTATTAAGAGTCGCATCGTAGCGACACGCGTGATTTATTTCAATGACGCAAACGTTGTTTATCCAGAGACATGAGTTTTCGTTCATCTCGCCTGCCCCCGTGTCGTCAGCAGGGAATTTTTCCCCGAGCTTTGGTAATATCAAAAAATCGGAGCCTTATCGCGAGGTCTCTAGCGAAAGTGCTCTGCTATCAGTGATCCTCGATCTGGCAATCGACTTTGCAAAATACTAGAAAAACAGTAACAAATACGTGCAAGCGCCACAGCGTATCGAATATGAGAATTTCGTGAACAAATTTTCCGTCAAAAAAAACAGACCGAGACGCCTTCCATAATGATTTGAATTCATTAAGATCTGCTGCCGGTTATAAATAAGTGATAAAAAAAATAGACTCGCGACTCTTGTCAGGCGGAGTTAAAAATGATGTATCTTCCCCAAGAACCCAAGGATCGATACGTTTCCAAGAATCAATCCATTTGTCAATAGTAGCCTAACATCAGTCAACTTTCGCCGAAGTCGGAAAAAGCGACGACCGATCGCGTCCTCGGAGATTTACATTCCGTATCAACAATCGTCAAGCTTCTACCGAAATCCCAAAGTCTCGGGGGTTTTCGGGGAACAACGAACCCCTGGGTGAAACTATCAACAAACAAACGTTCGATTCGAATTTCCCTTGTTTCGAAATATGCCCTGCTCGGCTCGCAACGAAAATAATGCATATGCGCTGCGATTTAGGTGCAGCGTCGTAAACAAGGCTAGGAGGCGAGAAAAAAGCTCGCTCGACTTGATCTGTCAAAGCCAGCTGAGATTATTATTTTGGCGCCTATTCAACTCATAGGGCCATTGGGATCCTCGGAAATAGAATCCCCGGTTTGTTGACGTTAGCAACGACGGTGGCCGGGTATTGGCTTTTCTACGATGCAATTGCGAGCGATCCTCCTGCTGTGCCAGTTCGATCCATCTATAGTCATTGGCATTATTCCTTCCCACGTATATGCCGAGCCGTTAGGTGCACCTCTCCTGTGAATGGAATTGCGCGCGATCTACCCACGTGTCCATCCTACTACCCCCGAATATCCCGAGTGAAGTAACGACGCCGGAAATAGTACGATTTACGCGAAGCTAAACAGAAATATCTCGAATGTACGAGGACCGAATATGCGTCGCAATCCCCTCCGTGTCCCGGATATCGTAAACCTCGGTTTACGGACACGGTCACAACGTCCGGAAAATCAGAGGCCGCCGAATGGTCTAAAAAAAATAATTCTGGATATCACATGTGCGTTCAAAAATTACACCGAGATATTTTCTTTTCTTTAAATACTTGGAGAATTCCGGGGCTCTCTGAGGGATGCTAAGGTTAACTGCTATCTTAGGGGAGAGTCTCACAATTTGTAAAAAGTTATGAAATTCGATCGGAGAATTATAAGCTATGGTTGTTATCGGAATTGAATGATATCTGGTTGTCGGTACGGATATCTACTTCCTTACCGACTGCGATCTTTGTCAAGCATTGTATAATTCCAGGTGGTTTTAGTCGGTAAGCGTTTACCGTCTGCAGTCATTGCTTCACTTCCGTCGCGATTATTTTGCGTATTTCTTTTTTAAACGGCAATTACCAACGATATTCTGATTGATAGGTACTGCTGGAAACCAGTTTCTTGAATTTTTAGAGAGATTATCATTCAGGGAGTGTTGGTACCCAGAATCCATCTCCATGCGGAAGTCAATGATCGGTTTAAGACCTACCGTTCCTTTTGTTGCATTTGCTTGAGCATAATGTCTGCAAGAGGATCCGTAAGCGGTCTTTCTCCGAGGAGACGTTGCCGATCCAAGTCTCCTTGCATTTGTGTGAAAGCATGTTCCCCGAGGTTAACGGAAGTCTCCAGCTGCGTCGATAGCTCGACCGCCTCGTCCCCTGAAAATAAGATCACCTGTTAACCAGACTGTTTATCCTTCCACCGCGTTCAAATCCCGGTATAAACGTCGGGCAACCGGCGCAAATCGTGTTTCCAAATCGACTGTTATTTCCGATCCGGTTTTATTAGCGAGCCTGCAAAAGCGTTGCCCAGAGATCTGGAATTTTAGCATCCCCGGAAAGAAGAGCCGTCTTCTCGGAATTCGTGTCAAGGCAACGACTTTCGTACGATTTAAATTTCGTTTTCATAAAGCTACACTTGGACATTTCGAATGAAGTCCTGAGAGACCGTTAATGACCTTTCATAGATTCATTCCCCTTTGCATTCTTCAAGGTAGTGCGCAACTTCTTCACGGCGACGCCATGGCGATGTTAATGACTCATAGCACTATTTTAATGACAAGTCCAAAGTTTTAAAGCTGTTAAAAATACTGGTGACAAGTACATTCCTCACCTACAGATGCCTGGTCTTGAATTTCTTATTGAAAATCAGTTTGGTTATCGAGAAATCGCGACAACGTTAAGGCCACGTTAGTGGATGTGCCATGCTAGTGGGTTTTAGTACGGTCGAGATATTAAAATTTAAAGGAAAATTCGTAGTAATACCTCCGAGTAAAGTCGACAGTTTTTGTCGAATCATGGTTAACCAGATGATGTCACAGCTATAGATGGTTCACAAGTGCACTTCGCAATTTACTTTCGAACCCCACAGAGCGTAAGGCTTATTCGACTGGCTTTCAAAGACGGCTCCAGTTTAAGCTTGAAGTAAAGATGACAATATCGATGTCTTATCTGTTAAAGCTGATACGGGGCACTCCTTTAGACCTTTATCACTCGACACGTAAGAGCTAATTCCCGTCCGTTGAGTCGATTGCAAAATTACTTATAGTCCATTACTTGAACTGGTCTGAACAATTCAGGTCTTCGAAGAATCCTCGCGAGCATAAATTTCCAATTATTGATAAAGGCATCAGAAAAATAATTATTACGAATTTAATTCCTAGTAACCGAGGCCCTAGCATGTTTCCAACATTAATCCAATGATAATAACGTTCGAATATCCAATGAAATATTGAGTATTAGAAAATTTGTAAACGTTTACCGTGCAGAGCATGCTGTGGATTGTCAATTATTCGTATTTGTCTGTCAGGAAGTAGAGGCTCTCCGTCCATGCCACCGATGTCACTTGGCAGCTGCCAACAGGCGTTCTCCTGCTCGGCTACGGTCCTTGGGAAGTACAGAGGCAAAAGGACCTCGTATACTCCCAGATCGCAAGGTTCAAGGACGAATACGATGCAATTGATCGAGTAGCTGTACTGCTCCAGGAATCTCCGCACCGTTCCTATCGTACGAAAAGTGATCGTTAATTCCGTTATTACCGTTCCTTATGTACTAACGGTACCGATAAATTGGACAAGTGTCCGTTCAAGGATACGGCATTAACTCACTCAGAGCTATGTGTGTACTTGCATCAGGAGGGTGATTCCTTCTGACGGAACTTATCACTGGTAAGGCGATGCTCCGCAATCCAAGTTCCCGGGCCTTTTGCAGAACGTTTCTGTGGGAATGTAATTATTTATCAATTACTTAAGAAGGTAAGATAGAAAAAATTACAATTGCCGATCCTATCAGACGTTCCTATGTAACGCTAAAATATGTACGCAATTTCTGTAGGAAATATCTAGGGAGATGATACATGGTACAAGATGTGCTTTACCGCTTGGACATACCTATAGCAGCAATGCAAAGTGTTGTGAGCAGCAGTTTGGTACTTGATATTATAAATCGGCCCGACGGTGTGGATGATGAAACGGGCAGGCAATTCGTGACCCTGTGTAACTCTCACTTCCCCGGTTTGACACTCTGAAAAATAATAGTTTACGAGTATTATTACATAGGGAATTAATCGGTACATGAAGTGTAATATCTCGAAGAAGCAGCGGCTGATTTGCGCTTCTTTAACGCAGCCACTTAACAGGTATGGACACATGTAGGCATGTCTTGTACGTAGTCATTGGAGCGCATTTATTGGAATCGACGAGAATCCGTACGGTTTATGGAACAGGTTTTCTCGACGGATCCAATATGTCGGAATCCCACGCGAGGATTCTTATTTTATTATGCACTTACAAAAGTCAGGTGAATTAAGCAAGGAGAAAACAAAGCCGGACGAAGAGTACTCGTAAGAGGTTTCTACGGTGGAGTGGAATGATGCCTCGCGAAGACAAAGCGGTCTTTAAAGAGCGGCTGTGTATTGCATTCGCCTTAAGTATCCTCGACTCCGTTACTGTCACCGAGCTCGTAAGAAGTTGAAGTTCGACTGACGATTTTACACCGCTAGGAAATACCGTTCTGCCGCTTGTTCAGCTGCTCCGGTGATTCCTAGTGGCAGGTAAAATTGAAAAATTCCTTTTCTTTTTTTTTTTAATTTTTTTCTTTCCACGGACGCGCTTAAAACATCGGATATTAATTTCCGATTGCTGACATCATACCGACGCGCTTATCTGCAAACGCAATTCTCAACGGGATTCTTTTAGGCAGTACAATTGAAGCGAGTCATGAAATCGGTTTCCAAAGTAAACCGTTTCATTTTCACAAGTGATGCATCGCGCAGGTAATATCGATCTGTCGTTTGTCGCGGCTAGCAGGTGATACTACTTGTTTTAGTAGGTGAAATTGGGTGTAATCGGTGCGTGCCGAATTTGCAGATCGATATTACTGGGTCGCTTCATTTTCGTGGGAACCAGCCGGTTCCGTTTGGCATAAGTTTTTCAGAAATTTAAACCTCGTCCACCGGCACCACAAATTAATATCAATTATAATTTAGTTTCCACAGATTTTAACGAGATTGTATTTGAAATAATAGCTATAATAATAATAAATGTGCGCACCTTGTTCTTAAGATTTTTGTGCACTCGTCGAATGATGAGTTATTTAACTAACGAGGAATGGTGATAATTCGTGATTTAATTACAGATAATTTTTTCATACGTGTTTATCGGTCTTTATATTGAAATTAATGTTATGTGCTCGCGTAGGTTCAGATGTTGCGTATATCGTTTTAAAGTAGTTTAATGGAAAATACAGCTTTCACCGTATTTTGTAACACTTTTACGGTTGAAGATCACGGCGCAGCGCGAAAGTCACACGGGTTTATTTATTTCGTAAACTATGTGGAAACCGAGAGAGTCCGATAACACGTGTAGTAAAGTGAACGGTGGATGCGAGACTGACAATGAGAAGTCCGTAGGTGCGGAGCCAATTGTAGAGGGGAAAGGCGGCGGTCACTCTACCGTTTAGAACACTGCCGTGCAACTAATAGATTTCTAAATAAGGTTTTGTGACGATTTTCCTACTGAAAGTTTTGATACCACGCAAGCCAATTTGGCTTTTCGGTTGAGCCGATTGAAGCAGTCGCTCTATGATTTATCACATCATATCGTGCACGTAATAGATTCCAGATAAGATTTTGTGACGATTTTTGAATTTGCTATTATCATTCGGTCGATTTTGATCGACTATTTCTTTCCGATAAATCTGAAAATAAATTGTACGATTTTAATAAGAGAGATGTTTTCAGCACTAGATAAAATCTTGAAATAAAGAGTTATTGCATACAATATGGAATCCAATACTAACTGAGAAATAATTCTATATTTCATATGTATTGTAGATATTGAAATTGATTAATAATGTATTAAATTGTAGGTACAGTTTGGGTACCGATAAATAAAGTATGAAATTAAAAGTGGTGTATGATATTGAAACTGTTACGATCATGTTAACCTTGGACGAGCACTTGACTGAGAAACGATTTTATGTTATAATTTCAGCGTGGTAATCGGTTTCATAGTTCTTATGTTAAATGATGTGTGAATAGTACGAACACGGCGTTACGGACGAGTGATTAATTGCGACATACATGAATGCAGAATATATAATTATACCAAATTACGATCTGTTGGTGTGTTTTCAGACAAATAATTTGCTTTTTGTACACTGAGTTATACTACCATGACAGATAACAAAGCACGTTTATGTGGTAAACGATTATGTCAGTCTTATAGTGGTTGTATGTGGTAACGGGCACAATCAAACCCAATTTAAGGCACACCTTTAACTTCGTTGTGAATTTCCATTTTAAGAGCCGAACCAGCACGAGCGAATATTCTTTGGCACATAGGATTGCTATCATCCATAGTTTCATTGGTGCTGTTGACTATAGCGTCGACTTGTAAAACGGTAATATCTCCAGTCCTAGAAGAAAAATCAGATATTAACGATATGGCAATGACCAACCAAGGGCGGCACAGCATTGACCTTGTCTACGACATAACAGATCCTTTAAAGCGTGAACTGCGTACACTTTTTTCCTTAACTATTCAATGCGACTGGTCATGTACTAAGGTGAAACATTAATGCATTATCTACGATGCCGCATATAACCCTTACTAATGCAAATAAAGCAATGCCTTGGCCTCGTTACCATATTGCAATTTTGGTGTTCAGTGGCGGCTGACAAGGAAATGGACTAGTGGCATGATGCGCCGGTTCTCCGAGGGAAGTCGAATAGTCAGTGAACGGGTGTTGAACAGGGAAGTCCGACCATCGTTTCAGTGCCCCCAACTCGACTACTTCCGGGGCCACACCCAATGGTTCCATCAGCCTCATTCAGCTAGAAAATATTTCAAACCATTAATCGATGCACCACTAAAACCTGTCACGATGTCTTAAAAATTTTTCTAATGATTATCATAAATCACAAATGAAATAGTAACACCTAAAGTCATTTCTTTTTGCACTCTGACGTAGCAACAGGGTAAAGTCAAAGATTTATTCCTGCTAAATTCTCATTTCACACGACTCGCTGTTCTTTGTTCCTCATATGGGGGTCCTAACCTCACTTTCAGCTGTCACAGACCATAACCTCGTCGCTCTTCGCAGTAGCAGAAACCGTGCCGTCCTTTTCTTGGTAAGGAAAAATCAATGAAATCGTCCAAATGATATTTTTCAATCGGTAAACACAGGTAAGTTGGTCTTACAGAAAGAGCGCGCAATTATTGGTCATGAGCGCGTATGACTATCGACATCTACTCACACACATCTTTGCACATCTTATTCATTCGTGATGAAGTAGAAGCGGAAAACCTTTGACCAGCAGGCATTCTCAAGGATTCTCCTTCCTCCTTGAGAGCGCGATATTCAAGTGAAACGAGGAAATGTCAGCGCAGTTTTTGGTAAATATTTAAATACATAAGGGCACTGTACAACCGTAGGACTGGGTCGATATTTAAATTTGGAAAACAAAGTACCAAAAGCAATATAGTACTCAGGTCATTCATAACGTAAATTCATTCACTTTCCTAGTTCATTCAAGAATACGTTTTCCAAGCGCAGGAATGACATTTAAATGACATGAACGCAGGCTCCAAAGTAATATCAAATATTAATTTCTTATGAATTGAATTCCATGGAATAAATTAAAAAAAGATATATAACTGACGTTTAAATGCACTTGCATGTATTCTGAACGTCCTGGCCCAACGAATCGCGTGCATTTAAATTAAAATTTATAAAGATGCAATTAGTATAAGGAGAGTTAAAAACATCAAATATAAAAAAGAGTCCCCAACTAAAGCTGCATTTTTTAGTTCCGAGTAACGGGCTGGAGTCTGGAGTACCCAGGGAAATTTAGGAGGAGACATTTTTAATTGGTCAACAAAGGAAGACAGATCAAAGAAGTTAAGGGCGTATTCAGCGACGTACAATGGAAGACACATTGACACATTTTCCGGGGACTCATTTATATTCACGGTGCACAGTAGAAGTGGACAAACCCTTGACCGTTAGACATTTGTCGCGATGTCTTCTCTTCCTCCTCGGGCCAGCAAAATTTAAGTGAAACACGCCTCCAGGAAGGCGGACTAAAAGGTCGGCCAGGAATCCTGAAAGAGGTTTGCATTTCGCTTCCTTCTTTTTTGTAAATACTTCCAGCACGAAAGGCCGGCTTCGATCGTACTGAAAATAAACCAGACCGACTCCGCCGAGCAACTCAAAATGAGTGCCCGTCCCTAAGGACGGGGGAATAAAGAGCCGAAAGGACGTTAGAAATTGAGAGGAATTCGAAATCGATCGGCTGACTGTATTTACGGATCCTTTGGGGAATTGCTTGGATAACTTTGGACGCGCGACGGAAAGAAGGCGAATCGAACGACCGTATTTGAGCAACAGATTAAAGGAACGAGACCCAGCAGAGTCATGCACGTGTGCAACCAATCGGCTAATGCAACGGTCCCCAGAGTTTTGTTAATAAAAAAGAAATGCACGGGGGTGTATACAAGCGGGGACAAATAACGCACGGGTTTCGTAAGCTCGGGGAGATATTTTCCGCGACGCCAAAGACGAGAGCAAACGCAAATTAAACTTGGTTAAATATTAACTAAATTTCAATAGCCTAATAGCAATCCTACTTTTAAGTTAAAAATCGAAGGACAACACTTTTTAACGGTGAATTAATTAATTTAGAACCCTAGCGTGATATCCAGATGCTTTCAGTTCCATACCTCAGCGAGTTCTAAAGAGCACTGGTACTGCTTCGCGGTGCATGCCTGACCTGTACGTGCGTAAACCTGATTTCTGAAGATTTAGAATTAAATCGCATAACCCAATTACCCGGATTGTTTTACAGAGGAATCACGACAGCAGCAACAGTTGGAAAAAAAAAAGAGGTGGACAAAAAATATTCTGCCCAGGAAATTTTTTTCCCAAGCCAGATGCACCTGATGTAAAACACAGCTCCCACTACGACCGCATCGAAGGTATTGTTTCCCGGCGCACGTAGACCGTGGGCTTGTAGGGAGAAAAAACTAAAAATGCAACGGCATGTCACGGGCAATATTGGATTTTTAACATGCACCACCGGAATAGGGTCGGGTATTGATTTGGCGCGAGACGGATTAATCGAATTCTGCCGACAGACGCCAGACGTCGGATTAAGCGATGGAGAGAACTCGTCAGGGCGATAATTGCAATAAGAGGCCAGAAGTATCGAGAGCACGTAGAATCACTTCGGAGTGGCTGCACTTATTGGACAAACCGATCGTTTTCATCCGGAAGCCTTCCCCGAAGAGAGCCAGGGTGTCGTGACGAAGAGGCCCGAGTGCCGGCTTAAACTCAGGGAGTAAGAGTTGACACGATTAATGTTTTACTCCCGACATTTTAAGGAAGGTTGGGCTTTACGCGTCACTAGTAGGGCATTAATCCAGGGAACTTCGAAGCATTACGGAAAAAGTGACTCTATTTCCGGGAATAAAGGAACATTTCCCGGGATGCTGTTAGGGGAAAAGCCTTTGTTGAAAAAAATCCCATGGCGACCGTGTTTTATTCAACGTATATACATGCCCTGTAAACCGCCATCGTTATGGTTTCCCGGCCCATAAGAAGGATTTCTTTCGGTGCAAAAATTTCTGTAAAATGGAATTTTCACATCCTTGCCATTCGGCACAGAATTACTGAAAAATCGTAGGAAGCAGCTTTTCATTAAATCTATTGTTCAAAGTTAGATATCAGTATAACGTAGAGCCCAAGGATTTACAGACATCGTTGGTTGACGCGATTAATGTTTCATTTCAGACACTTTGAGGAAGGTCGAGCTTTATGTGTCGCCAACGAGGGATTAAGCCATGAAACTTGCGACCGAGGTATTGAGGGAAGAGTGGAACTCCTTCGGGGAAGGAAAACAAAATGTTCCAGGAAGCCGTTCCGGGGAAAGCTTTTACGACAAAGACTTTTGTAGTGACGATCCTTTGTTCTTGGATCTTCGTAGTCAGCAAGGTACCCTCGCTATTTCTTTTATTAAATATGTAGCTTCCTCGTAAAAATATTTCGTATCTAAATTGGCATCCTTACAACAGTACTGAATACATATGATCGAATTGTCTTGATTGATAATTTAAAAAAGCAAATGTTATAGTAATTCGTTTGTCACAGGAAAGGAACCGTAGCAAAGGCTATGCTCCACAGCCGACATCAAAAGACTTAAACTTTTACTTCGGTCTCTGTGGAACTTTTTTTTTTTAACGTAATGACCTCGTGCTTGGCTGACCGCTCGATCGATGATCCATATTCGTGCAAGGTAAAACGTGTCAGTTCCTGTCCGATAGTTTATTTCCTTCTAGAAGCAGTCATGCGTCAACAAAGTCTTCCCGTGCCAGTGTCAAATTTTTTATTCAACGGCGCCCACCGTCCAAGCCCAACAAGAAAAATAATTTACTAATAAAATTTTGCTCACTACACTTTTCCGCTCCTCAAAATATTTCCAAAAGTCAGTTTCATTGATATCTACGCTTTTACATATTACATAACACATATTTCATGAAATTGGGAATATCTGGACCAATCAATGTGAAAGGAGAATCCCATCAATCGTAATCCGATGTACAGCAGAGTGCCTTTCAATGCATATCAGTACATTGCACGTAGTAGCAAATGCAGCTAATTTAGCGGATAAGCGTAAGCTACAATTATTTCATCGCTTTATAAGCGAAACATGCTTTCAGCATGTCAAATTCATCGAATCCTGCCAACGACGCGTAAATCCCGAGCAATTTGGAGGTATTAATACGAGCAACGAGTTAGTGATCCAGAAAGAGTTATTTATTATTTAAATCGCCCTCGTAAAATATAGAGCATTATTGATGTGCAGATGAACGTTCCGCGAACGGTAACGGGAATACGTTTCTTCTGCGAATCTAAGTAGAGCAGTCTAAGTACTTTCGTTACCTTGTATTCTGGACGGTCACTGGGGAAGTAGCGGTCTCAGGTAACTTACGTATTGAGATCACAGTATTCAGGTGACATAAGAACCTGGATAAAGTTCGATAAAAGAAAAGCTTGGGAAAACAAGGAAACCGAGGCGTTCTATTGTAGATACAGGAATTTCGAGGGACGCCACCCCACGTAGAAACTGTAGTAAACCTTTATGGGGAGGACCGGATGTGATAAGAAAAACGAATGCAAGATCACATCTCCACCTGCGTTTCGGCGCCACGTTATCATGCGATGGACCTCGAGAAAGGAAAATAACACCTCGGGAGTATTCATTTTTATAACGTCAATTTCTTGGACGTCTTGTTTCGAAACTCTCTCCGGGATATCTCGAGAAATATGCAATGCAATTCCGGGGGCGAAATCCTTTTCAAAGCGTGTAAAAGGCCTTATCTTAAACGACGCAGCGATTTAGCCCTCCCTTAGAATTTCCTCTCCGTGTTTCCGCGCGTCCACTTCTTCCAGAATTTCGCCGCGATAGGAGGCAGAGGGGCCATTTAAAGAGGGAAAGTCAGATTGCCTGGCTATCTGCGTCATCGTAATGGCATAGAGTTTCCGCGCAACTCGGTTTAACAATTACGGTGTCTAGGTCAGTGATAAAAGCCGTAATGCTCGGACGAAGGAGTGCCGTCAAAGGCCGAAGTGGAAGTAGGCGGCGGACCACCGCCGCGTGCACCGAGGAAACCTTTTGACGTGCAAGGTGCAAGCCACGTCGCTCGCTCAACATTCTTGTCGGGATAATTTTACCACACCGGGGGGAAGAAAGTGCCCGAGTCGGGTTAACCCCTTCATCGAGGAGTTTTCCTTCCGCAAAATATCCCTGCAGAGTGCCCAACTCTCTGAAGACGAAAATAAAAAAAAAATAAAAACTAGGGAAAAAGAGGCGTCAGGCCAGAAGATCAGCTCTCATCAGGATTTGATATTTTAATAACGGATGTAAACCTCCCATGACTTAATTATTATTGTATGCAAAAGACATTCACAAGTGTTTCCAGGAAGATGAAAAATGTTCCATAAGTAGGCGCTGGAGTAGTGTTATTAATTTACATAAATCCGCAGACATACGAGGATCCGTTTCACCCCCAGACAATCACCATGGCTGAAAGAGGATCCGAAAGTAGGGGAGCCCCGGTGGCGGTGTTATCCGCGGTGTTGCATAAAGCGAATCGATAAACGTGTGATAGATTTCTTGACCCATTTAGTTGACACGCGTTACTGTATTTCAGGCATTTTCTTTTTTTTTTCACGTCCTTGTATCGTATTCTAGGATGACACTCTGTCATCAATTCTCTG